GAAGGAAGGAAGGAAGGAAGGAAGGAAGGAAGGAAGGAAGGAAGGAAAGCTACAGGGTAACTTAACACTTGTATGCCAGTAATGAATATATTTTTTAGGTGAAAGTATATTTTGCATTCACTATGACTCTTGCAACAAGAGCAAATCATCTGAAGATTTAGGATTTGGTTTAGAGACAGACAGTTCAAGGCTAGAATTCTAACATTCTTTTAAGAATTATGTATAGTTTATGTGTATGTGTGTTTTACCTGCATATCTGTCTGTTCACCATGTCCATGCTTGGTGTGTGCATGCAGGGGGCTATGTGGGTGCTGGGAATCCAACCTAGGTCTTCTACAAGAACAGCCAGTGTTCTTAAGCAATGAGCTAACTCTTCAACCTTGAGAATGGTAACACTCTAATCTATTCCATTACTGGTATATGAGACTGAGCAGGTGACACACACACATTCCTATGGTTCTAGGGCTGATTAGATGGTTGCTATAAATTACTCGTCACAATGATGCATGTGTTCAGTAAATAATTTTTTTTATTTTTTCATCTATTTTTTTTTTTTTTTTTTGCTGGAGAGACAGCCATGGGTGCTAGGAACCGAACTCTTATATTTTTGGTTGTGAGACCAGCCTTTAATGACTGAGGAGTAAATAATTTTTATGACCAGAAAAAGGTGGCAGAACTTAGAGGCCACACCTCTTGACAATAGTTTCTGGAATCCAAGAGTTCCCAGATGATCTGATAAAAGCAGAATGTTATTGGTGTGTTTTATTGTATGTTTAAAACAAATTGTTTAAAAGGCATAGTATTGAATTGGAGAACGAATAATTTAGGGTTAGGAAAACATAATTCCCAAGTCCTGCTCTGAACACTTTTAGGTATGTGAACTTGAACTAATAGTGATTTATTGTTTTTGAGACTTGGGCTTCCTGTCTGAAAATAATTCCTGAGATTTTTTTTTAAACAGTGCTCATAAATTATTGGCAAGCTCTTAAAAACAATAGTGGGTACTTTAGTCTCCAGCCTTGTAGCAATCCTGCACTGGTAAAAGAGCTCTAAGCTGAGGGGCCCAGCTTCCCGTCAGGTAGGCTGCAGAGGTCCCAACACCTCACCAGCACACATGCCGGATGCCCGCTGCTGTGCTCTGGGAGGTTCTTTCCAGGGTCCACCAGCAAGAACCTTCTACTGTCTTCCATCCTGATCCCCCATCTCGCTTGTGCTCTCTTGACTGACAGATGTCCCTCGAATATGGAATTTAGGAACTTGAAGAAGAGTGGGCGGAAGGAAACACAGTCCTGCCCAACACTTTGTTGTTGGAAGATACAGCACTTCCATCTCACCTCAAGCAGGTAATCGACTTGTTTCATGACAGCCACTCACAGCATCTCTGAGGTATCCAGGGAGAACTTTGGAGTTATTCGAGGATTTGGCCCAACCCCCTGGCATATAATTAATGTGTTGTAACATGAGGGCCGGCTTGTTGGGGTATCTGTTCCGCCTGGCACCCCACAGCCCACAAACCCCAAAGAAAATTACACACAGGACTCCATAAGATTATAAACTGATTGGCCCATTAGGTCAGGCTTCTTATTAGTCCTTGTAACTTATATTAATCCATTATCATTAGCTATGTTAGCCACACGGCTCAGTACCTTTCTCAGTGTGACAGCTCACATGTTGCCTCTTCAGTAGTCTGGGCAGGAATGGCAGAGGGAGCTTCCTGTTTCCCAGAATATTCCTGTTCTCATCGCCCCGCCTCTACTTCCTGTCTGGTTGACCCACCTATACTTCCTGCCTGGTCAATCAGCGTTTTATTAAAATACATGATTGACAGAATACAGATAATTCTCCCGCACCAATGTGTGGTCTTCCATTGGTTGCTACTTCCCTTGAACTATAGATGCTTCTTGAAGTTGACCAAAGTCATTAATACAGAAACGCTGTTTCTTTTACTTCTTTCCTTTCTTTTCCTCCCCCAAGCCTGAGTCCTCAATTTATTTCATTTTGTAATCTCAAGAGAAAGATGAATTAATATTGTGAGGGTGGGGGGAAAAGGTGTTTGGTGAAAAGTGAAGTTGTGAAAACCTATAAAGATGGAAATGTAAGCCCACAAGGAATGAGCAGTTCATATACCAATTCACAAAGCAACATGGGCTGCACTCAAGTTGGCTTCCACCCTTGTTGGACAGGCTGTATTTGACATCACGTATGCTATTGGTAGAAGCTCCATAATTACCCATAAGACGTCATGTAAAAAGGCCATTTTACTTCTCCCATAGAAAGCTCTATATGGAAGAGAAATGACCTTCAATATACTTTCAAGAATCTGCCAAGACCAATCAGTAATGCTGCAATGCCCTGAGGTGCCCCACAGTGCTAATCTGTCTGTGGTATTTGAGAGCCCTGGGTACCCTGTGATGATTTGCCTTTCTTTGAAACTCAGGGATGCAAACACCCATGGGTTAGCTGAGGCTGGGTCTCTATCCAGCCATTGTGCTCCGAACTTGGAGTGATGACATCATTCTACAGGGTTTCCTTATTCTTCTTATAGTTGTGATTTTTCTCTTGTACTTGAGGTTCCCATGGTCCAGTAAGTGGCCAAATTGCTGTAAGGAGATGTACAGGGTGGTCGTGGTATTGCTAATGCTGGGAGGGCCAGCTTATGGTGACAGCAGTGGTAGTTACCTCTCCACACCCAGTAGGAATGCTCTGTCAGGGCCTTTGTGGGCTGAATGACATTCTGAATGTTCCAGAGGTTTACCTTGGACTTATCTCTGTAGCTGAGTGATGCCTGAAATACTGCTGGCTGGCTTTGAAGTCAAGGTTGCACACACTGCCTGTGGGAAGTCTCTCTGGGCTGTGTCTGGCAGACTGTGCTGTGCTGGACCACACTATAAACATGGTACAGCAAACAGCTGCAGGGGCTGCGTTGTGCTGGTTCAGTTTTCAGGAGACTCTGGCTACTGGGCTCTAATTCCTCGGGTACACGCCACACTTCCACATACCCTAGGTCTAAATAGTCTATTGAAGTAATATTTGCCAATACAACATTGGCCAATCCTAACCAAGAAATGAATGGTATTGTGTCTGCACTTTTCAGTGTCAGAGAGCCTGGAATTCCAGCCCATGGTTCACCTGTGCATCATCTTCCCTGCTGTGAAAGGTGGCCTGCCTCATCATGTGGCTTTTCCTGGAGAGATTGAAAAGAGACCACAGACTGTTTCACCCAAGTCTCGCTTGGTGAACCCGTGAGTTTATGGGCTTCTTTACAGGGCCATGGCTGACTCACAGACAGCTACATCCCTGAAAAGCATCTTCCGGGGATGGGTGATGAACGCTCCAGCCTTGGAGCCTCCTCCCTAATTGGCAGACAGTTCAGCTGACCTGAGAGTCTGCACTGCCCAGTGATTGTTTACCACTAATATATAGCCTCAGGGGAGGGGCCTTGTGAGACCTGTAACTCTCTGAGCTTCCTGAGTCTTCGAAGTTTTGGGAGTCCTGTGGGCCTCCTTTGTCCCTCCAGGAAGAAATCTTTCAATTTGAAGGAAATCACTGCAGAGTAGCACTAACGTGTGTTCATGTGAGAGGTGACGCCTCCACTCGGAGCCTCTTTTCAGTGCCTGCTTACCTCCCCAGCTGTGGACAACATCTGCAGATGCTCTTTCTGAGCTTCAGAGCCACACTTGCAGCTCTTGATTGGGTTCCATGGCCTGAGTCAAGTCGCCCCTCCCCCCCCATCTCCAGAGGTCATCTAGTCCTCCTCTTTTGTGATTTCCAACACCGCCTTCTTCATGGGGCATCTAGTGCCAAGGCCTGAGTCCAGCACACAGTGGCTCCCACAGCACATTTAATAGCTGGCTTAGAGGAATTACGTTCAGACTCATTATAAGTTCCCAGCAGGACATCCCCAAAGTATCTAGTTGGGGCCAAGTGTTGTAACATTCACCATTGATTCTACTACCTGCAGAGCTGTGAACCTGAGGCCAGCCTGGTCTACATATTGAGTCCCAGGTCAACCAGGGCTACATAGTGAGACCCTGTCTGGAAAAACAAAACAAACAACCAAGTTGATTAATCTATTTATACCATGTTTCTCATCTCTTCTTCCTTTATTGGTAACTTGTCTTCTTTGGGAAGTTGACATTTCCTGCTGTTTTTTCCCTTCCCAACTATTGGCAATCCTGTACAGGAACAATATTACTTTTATGAAAAGCTGTTTTTAATAATAATTTAAAGTATCAACAGAGGCCTAATCATCCCTCTGACGCTTTTCCCAGTTGTAAACTTATAATTTTCTAGGAATCTCAGAAGAAATCCCATTTACAGAAAAAAAAGATTCACCCCCTTGCGAAGCCTTTTTGGCACCATTTTTATCTCATCTGACTGAAATCCTTTCAGAGGCACTGCCACAGCCATCCCATAATCCATTGCTCAACAGACATTCCATAATCCATTGCTCCACAGTCATCCCATAATCCATTGCCTTTGAAGATGAGGAAAAAGCCTGGCAGTGGTGGTGCATGCCTTTAATGCCATCACTCGGGAGGCAGAGGTGGGCAGATCTCTTTGAGTTCAAGGCCAGCCTGGTCTACAAGAGCTAGTTCCAGGACTGGCTCCAAAGCAACACAGAGAAACCCTGTCTCAAACAAATAAATAAGTAAATAAATAAAGATGAGGAAAAGAGTCAGGTGATGGTGGTGCACACCTTTAGTCCCAGCACTCAGGAGACAGAGGCAGGAGGATCTCTGTGAGTTCAAGGTCAGCCTGGTCTACAAACAAAGTTCCATTACACCATCCTGCATCAAAAACAAAACAAAACAAAAAAGATGGGGGAAAGAGGAGAAATGTTTTTTATCTCTTTCATATATAATTCGAAAGCCACTAAAATTTTATACATGGATAATGCTAAGATACTCAAACATGGCTGTCTTTGAGAAGCCCACATCCTCTCTCTTTCTAATAATCTCCATGCTTAAATAGGCATTTAAAAATCTCTTCTCAGTAAACTTTAACTGTACTACACAGTGACTTACCCTGAAATCCTTCTCATGGCAGAGAAGATGCCTGGTTCTGGGGCTTGAGAGATGGCTCAGTAAGAGCTGGTACTGCCCTGGCAGGGCACCCAAGTTTGACACTCAGCACCTACATTGGGCAGCTCATGCTTGCTCCAGGGATCTGATGCTTCTGATCTCCTTGGGCACACAGACACAGGGACAGGCACATGTGCACATGCTTGTGTGCACGCGCGCACACACACATGCACACACAGAACAACTACTACTACTATTACTACTAATAATAATAGTAATAAATCTGAGAGAGAGGAGAGAGAGAGAGAGAGAGAGAGAGAGAGAGAGAGAGAGAGAGCATATGAGCACAAGTCCTGGTTTTCAGTAACTAGAGGTCACTGAATAGCATTCCTTAGGCCACTACCAGCGGTTGCCCAGGGCAGCAGTTCCGCTCACTGCTGCTGACCGCACCAAAGCTTTTTCATTGTTTATATGAAATTCAAATGCAGCTGAGCATCTGTGTTTGTTTTGGCAACTCCAGTCACAGGGTCTCACCCTAAGTACTAACTTGGACGTGGAGTTTGGAGGTTGTCATTTACCAGAATTATGCCTTTTAAGGCTCTGTGTTCATTAATTGATTCATCCCCAAGCATTCCTAAGGAGAAAGAAAGAAGCCTTTTCTCCCATCTGACACAAGCTTTGGCTCGGAGTCCTGTACTAGGGAAGAAGCACCACGGCCCCCGGGGTTGCAGCTTGATGTTCAGTGTCCTTCATCTGTCCAGCTCCAGGGTGTCGCTCTCTCCTCTTAACTCAGGGACAGATTGCGTACATCCCCTTGAAACCAGAGCATTGGACGCTATCCTTAGGTTTCCTCATTTCTGTCATGTCCTTCTTAATATCAGTCTGTCCTTAGAAGGCCTCTCCAGCCGCCACGGAAACAGAAGCCTTACATACTCTGCAAACAGCCTCTTTCTTTAGTCTGCCTCTTAGTGCAGAAGGCTGTAAAACCTGGATTTGTTCTTGCAGCAGGTCTTCTGTATTTTCCTTATAGGAACATCTCTTGGACCTGTCTCCTCCCATCCATTTCTCCAGCCAGCTGTGCCAATTAAATCTGTCATCATCTGGGGCCTGGATTGCAGCATCCTGGTCCTTTCAGGTTCTTGCATTTGTGCAATGCCAAGCAAACCTATCGTTATGCAGCATTCTTTCCCCAACTGGGATTTTTCTGTGAACCAGTTGCAATGAAGCTGTATTTCCTGTTGGACAAACCAATGCCAGCTCTGCGACCCCACTCTCAAGGCCCCAGAGCCCATCTTCTTTCTCCTGCCTGACTGCTTATCATAAACCCATGTTCTCAAATTTCCATGAAAGTCTCCGAACCTTCTTGCTGCTTCTATCTGCATAGGACTGTCATCACATCTGCCTTGAATACCCCAACCCCTTCCCTCTTCTGGGAACCCTCAGCCTTTCACTTCAAAATCCAGTCAGTAGATGAGATAATCGCCAATCTTGGGATGGAGCAGCTTTGTCCTAGGGAAAATCTCAAAAGAAAAGCAAAGGAAAATTCCAGGAGGTTGGCTTACGTAAGAGTGAAAAGTTTCGTATCAAGCTACAACATAAACAAAACAAATGGATGTAGAAAAGCACAGCATGGAATAGTTAATATTCTTTTTAAAATGTATTACACTTGCTTTATGTGTATGTGAGTATGTATGTATGTGTGAGAGAAAAAGACGAAGAGAGAGACACTGCGTGCATGCGTGTGTGTGTGTAGGTCAGAAGACAGCTCTCAGGGTGGCTGTCTCCTTTCACTGTGTACATTCCAGGGATTGAACTCAAGTCCCCAAGAGTGGTCACAAGCTTCCTTACCTGCTGAGCCATCTCTCTGGCACCAAACTCAAAATTCTTATTAATATAATTTGTAAATTAATAAAAAATATATCTCAAAAGAAAATGGTGATCAGAGGTACTTCTTAGAGAAGACTGTACCCATGCTCTGGGCTGTGTCTTTCTTTATCTTATTCCGTACATGTGAAGTGTATGTTAAAGTATCTTGAATGGTGGCTAGAGAAGGGCATCCGGGGTTGCTGCCTGGCACTCACACCAGACAGCTCGGAGCCTCTGGTAACTCCAGTTCTTAGGGTATCCGACACCCTCTGGCCTCTGTAGGCACCTGTACAAACATGACATGCATAAACTCATGCAGGAAAGCACATAGACATAAAAATAATAAGAAAAATAAAGTAAGAATAAAATAAATAAGAAGCCTTTTGAAAAGTCTTAAGCATGTATCTTTAATAAAACTCCAGTTCTGTCTCATACTGACTAGTCCTGAAATTATCTGAAAGAAGGAGGGAGGGAGGTTGGTAGACATCACCCTGTCACTATACACACTAGGCCTTAGCTGCCTGAGTACTGGAACTGTATGTGCCACTGGGCCCGGCTGCAAAGTGAATTTTATTATTCCGGTAGATCAGGCTTAGGGATCTCTAGCCGCCCCTAACTAAGCCGTGATTAACTTCTCAAGCGTGGAATCCTCCCCTCAGGAAGTTAAGACTAAAAAGGGAAAAAACTATACAGTGTGCTGCTACAGTACTCGACACGTTGTAAACACTCAAAAGATTGCTTCTTGTTATTCTGCTTTAGTCTCGGATGACATATGGTTTTGTTTTTCTGCCATAGTAGGTAAAATGTCTGATAGATAGTTTGACTTTTATAAAATCTATACATCAAATGTTCTTCACTCTTTCCTCCCCTTCCCACCTGTTTCCAATTTGTTTGACCTACCTGTTTGCTCCTGAGTTTACCCTGTTTCTTATGGACCAGCCATTTCTACATACTCCAGATTGATTTTTCCAAAAACCATCTTAGCAGCCTCCCTAAGGGTCACCAGCAGACGGTGCCTCCCACCTTCTCATGCCTGCATCCTGCTGACTCAGTATCAGGAAATGGCTGTCCTTGGGTCTAGCCTGCGCTCCACTGCTCAGCTGACCTGCTCTCTCCTCCAGGCAGAGGCGCATTCTGTTTCTCAGATCACTTCCTGCAGGCCTGTGCTCATCAGCGTTAGACAAAGTTTATGGTTTATCTTCTCTTCACTTCCTTCCCCCCCATTCCCTCCTTTTTTACCTCCCTTTATCTCCCCCTGAAAAAGAATTATTTTTCTTTTTCTCTGATATAATTTGTGTTTGCTTGGAAAAAGTAGACTCAGCGGCTCTTGTATACATGATCCAAAGGCACAATACTGAATATACGTCCTTTATTATCATAGAAACATACACTGAACACGTTATGATAGCTAAGAGGATAATAGAACAACAGCATGATGTAACTGTGAAACTAGAAGCCCTTCCCTCCCTGATCCCTGTGATTGCTAAGATACAATTATGGGGTTAGGGCAGGTTTGAATTCTGTCTCTAACACTATACGGCTTAAGTAATGTCCTTATCTGGGTCTTAGCACCAACGTCTGGGGTAAGATGATCACATCTGGATCACATGGTGGCAATAAAATGCCTGTAGTCTATAAGATGTAGAATGGGTAAATGGACATTATTTTCCATAGCAGAAAGCATCATTTTCCCCTTTTCCTTTTCCAAGGTACATATGTTTCTACTGTGCAACCCCCCACTATACTTATAAAACAGTAAAGAATTAAAAATTTATCAAATGTGTAGCACTTATATGGCATGTTCTGTGCTAATAGAACTTATTAGAGATCATCTTATTTAACTTTTATGAGACACCATTGTGACCTCAACAATGTAGACTCTCATGGTTATCTAGACCCCAGAGCATCTAGCACCAGCCTCTACACTCACACCTCTGTATTTCGCTGTTCTCGTTCATGCCTTTCATATAGTGGGAACTCAACTTCCAGTCACACCTTAGACTACTGAGTAACACTGCCCATTCCTGCCAAACTCCCTGTTCTGCTCTTCTGTAGGAGGGGGCCACGTGTGGGTTCCAGGCTGCTCAGCCCCAAAATGATCACACAGAAACTGTATTAATTAAATCACTGCTTGACCCATTTAGCTCTAGTTTCCTTTTTTTTTGTGTTTTTTTTGTTTGTTTGTTTGTTTGTTTTTCGAGACAGGGTTTCTCTGTAGCTTTCGAGCCTGTCCTGGAACTAGCTCTTGTAGATGAGGCTGGCCTTGAACTCACAGAGACTAATAATATTTATGAATATTATTCAAAAACCTAATTTATGATAGAGCTACTGGGACTCCTGAGTGCTCGATTTCCCAAGATTACACCGGAAGTGACTTAGGATTTGAGCTTTGGGTTGTTCAGCGTTGAGCGTTTCTATTGTACTAGCCTAGCCATGGCAGTTTCTGTGAGGCTGTGCTAGAAGCCTTCGCTTCACTGCTGAGTACAAGCTCCTCACCTGAACTCATGGCTGCTGTGAGGACCAGGTGTGCTGTAAGGGATTCTGAACTATCTTTAGAAGCATGCAGGAGCTCCGTGTTCCTAATAATGAGGAACAGCAAGTCGGGCAACCAGTTTCTCCTAGCACACTTAGAGGATGTCTTCAGAACACCAGGCGAGGAGCTCAGACTCAAAGTCAAGCAAGCTAAGAGGCAGA